AAGGTTTGCAAAGCATTCTACAAATATTACCTCATTTTGTCCTAGTGGCTGTCCTTGGAGGTAGATGCTATTATTACCCCCATTTTAAAAATGAGGAAACTGAGGCAGGCAGCGATTAAGTGACTTGGTCAGGGAGTGGCTGGGTGTGAGGGGGAAGGTTTTATACTATTTACTGGAAACTTTTAAAGCCTTAAGTACTGGATAGCTTGGCTTAAAAATTTCCATTGTTAAGTTAGGGAAATGTCCTTACTCTTTGGGATTTACCTGCCAAGTTTAGTGATGAACAGGCTCGTTATTTTAGATAGTTATAATTTTTGAAAGAATCTATTCAATGTCCTTGAAAGATATTTTCTAGCCTTCAATTTTGGCAGCTAGGTGGCACAGTGGAGAGTGCCCTTGGCTACTTAATTAGTTCCGTGACCTTGGGCAAGTCACTTAAGCTCAGTTAAAAACATTCAGTTTCTTCACTCTTAAAAATGAAAAAGTTGTTTTAAATGACCTCCAGGGCCCTTTCTAATTCTCAAATTTGAGGGTTTTATCATCCTGTGAAGGATTTGGTTATACAGAGTGGAAAGGGGAGGACATGTATTCCGGGTGGGTGCAAGGACATAAGCAAGGCCATTAAAAATGGAAGGATCTGGGTATGTTGAGAGGATGGGGAGGAGACTGGCCTGGGAAGAGCCAGGAAAGCTAAAGACGAGTGGGGAAGAAAAATGAAGAATCAGGCAGGATTTGTTTGTACAGGACTGTCTTTTTAAACTGGCTGTCTTGGGCTGGGGTAGGGGGCATGTCCTACTCATTACTTAGCAAAGCTTGTGGCTTTACCTCCCCCACATCTCTCACAGGTTGCCCTTTCCACCCACACAGCCATGATCCATATAACTGCACCTAGATCATGTCACTCGCCTGCTCAGTAGACTTCAGTGGCTCCCTCTTAACTTATAGGATCAAATAGAAAGGCTTGTTTGGCATTGAAAGCCCTTCATAACCTGCTCCCCACTCATCTTTCTAGCTATGTTACACATTATTCCTCTTCACACAACTTCCCGGGCCTTACTGCTCCTTCCTGGCCTCCACCTCTTAGAACTCTGGCTCATTGGAGGCTCAGTTCATGGACTGCCTTTCCTGCCCTTGCCCCCTCCCCCCAAGCTGCTGTGGCTTTGTCTCCTGAATGATCCTGTCTAGACAGTCTGTCCCAGCGAGATGCTCTCTAGGACAGCCTCCTCTGTAACCCCAGAGCCTAGCTCAGACACTTTATAAATGCTGGTTGATTGACTGACTGATTGATAGAGATTGATACTGTGAAAGTACAATTTGGGGAAGATGGATCTGACATCTGTGTGCAGGTTGTATTGGGGAGGGAAAATGATTGAAACTGATGAATGCAGTACAAACTAGGCAGATGGGATAGTGGTTCGAGAGCTGGCCTTGGGGGTCAGGAAGACCCAGGTTCGAGTCATTTCCCTATTCTGTGCTCCAGGCATCTTTCTAAGCCTAGGAGTTTCAAACCAGGTACTGATCTACATTGCTGGAGGCATTTTCCTTTTAGGGAGCTCCCTATGCCAGTGAAATCACAGGTCTGGTTCTCCCCTCCCCCCCACCCAGATGAAGTGTATATAGACTGCAGAGTGAAAAGCATGCATTTTATTGTGTTGAGAAAGGTGGGGAGTGGGCAAGGATTCCCCACCTACTTTTGCCTGTCTCTAAAGGGCTGGCAGTTCTGGGCATAGGTTACTCTGAAGTGTTTCTGTGTAAGCAGGGGAGGATGGACGCTCTCCTCCAGCAAGGGCTCTTAAGCTTGGGGTCCTTGAACTGCACTGAAAAAACTTGATAGCTGGATTTCAAAATAATTGGTTTCCTTTGCAAATCCTACACATTTGATTTTATGTACTTAAAAACATTTTTTGGACAAGGGGTCCATTGGCTTCCCCAGATTGCCAGAAGGGTCCAGGACACAAAAAATGGTTGGGATTCCTTCCTTCAAGGCTCTAGGCAGGGCCAAGCGGCCGGGAATTACTCTTTAGTAGGTTGCCTCTCCGGGCCATGAGCCTTGTCTTTGAACTCCTGACCCTATAGAAGGGGAGTTGGGACATTTTGGTCAGACACTGAGGTATCTGATACCTCTTTCTCCCATGATCTGGGAGAATGGGTGGCAGACATATTGGGCAAGAGAGAGCAAGGCAGACCACAGTTCCCTCTATTCCCAAGCTGCCTTGCTGGTTGTCTTAGATGGGCCCAAGTGTCCAATCCAGCGGCCAAAGCTCCTTGTGTCCCATCCTCCCCTTTCTCTAGCCTTCATGTTCACAGTCATCACATCATGAGTTGGCCTTCCTTCCTTTGGGCTCATATCTGTGCTTTTTGTCCTTGCGCTTTTCTGTTTTTACCTCTTCTCTAGTTATACGTTTGTTTCTTTCTTTTTCTGTCTAGCTCTGCCAGATGATCTTATATCTCTATCACTGACCAAACCATTTATTCGAGTTTCTCGGCTGTTATTCTATTTGAATGTGTGATATTTCAGGTTCTTTACTTTGTTTCTTTTCTATATAGGCAAGTTAGCTCTTTGTCCAAAGGAGTATCATAGAGCAGCTTTTTATACGAGGAGCAGAACTTAACTGTGGAGGAGAGAGGGCCATCCCATAGGCACACCCTGAATTGCATCCTGCCATATCCTGCTTTTTTGGTTTTGTTTTTGCTTGCATGTTCTTTCTGGGGCTGGTATTTTTTTGTGGTTTTTGAACTTGGGCACAGTCCTGTCCCAATAGTTCGTACAATATGCCAGCATGCTTTTTTGATCCAGTCTTCCCCATCACATTTCACTATCTTTATCCTAAGGTAAGAAATTAAGAATTTTAATCTTCTGAGTTTATATGTGCTGCGTTCAACAAACGTGTCTTAAATTTTACTCTGTGCGAGCTCTGGGCTCTCTAAGGGGGAAAATAGAAAGCTGAATAAGACAGTCTTTGTTCTTTAAAAACTTTATCATCTAGTTAACTGCGCCTCCATTTTCCCCTCTGTGAAATGAAGGGGTTAGATTCTGTGGCCTCTCAGGGATTTCTAGCTCTCTGCCTATGATCCCAGAAGATAGATACATGAGTAGTTATTTAAGATAAATTATACTATGGTAAGTGGCATTTTAGGGGAACCGGACAAGTTTTACAAAAGAGTTTGAAAGAGAGAGGCCTTACTTCTGGTGGGAGGGGGGGAGGGAGGAGTGAGGTGGTAGAGATCATGGGAAGCTTCATGAAAGAGATAGTATCTAAGCTTGACCTTGAGGGCAAGTGAATGTGGGCGAGGAAGGAAGGAAGGAAGGAAGGGGCCATGTGTGACAAAAAGGCTGGAGATGAGAAAGATGAGCTTGGGAAAGGTGAGTGCTGCCACATTGACCAATGCATCAGTGAAAGATAGTAGGTAGTGTGGAGGAAGGTGGGAAAGGTAGGCTGGAACTGGGTCATGTCAAAAGGAAAGTGTTTGCATCAGCTATTTTAGAGTAATGTGTAAATTACCTCTGAACACATACCTATAGATTTGCTTTTTTTTAAACAAAAAAATTGAGAAAGAATATAGTTCTAATATATCTTAAAGAGGGCAGATGCTTCTCTTCATTCTGCTGTATTACATTACACTTTAAAGGTCAAGTGTTTTGTTTTCATGATTCTGTGCTAAGCTTAGGTGAGAGTGGTCACTTGGGTGTTAAATTAAAAAGGCCTTGTTTTCCAACTTCCCACGTCTCCATCAAACATGCATCACACCTGGACAGTAAGCAACATAATATTCTAAGACATTCACATGTAAAAGAATCTCATTACAGGGGGCTTACCTGGTGCCCACAGGGGATTTCATTTTGTTTTCCATAAGGACACCCTTTAGTTTTTAAGCTTTTTTTCTTTTTCACAGAAGTCCTTTTATGATCTCAGTGATGTTCCTTTCTGTTAGATGTAGGTGTAAACCTGGCTATCATAGACAGAAACATAGAGGCGGGTTAATGACTTGTTATCGCAGTTCAGACTCTGTATATGGCGACATGATGATTGTCCCCACCATGAGTGTGATGCCCTCCTTCTCTTAGGAATTTTGGCTTCCCCCAGCTGAGATTTGCTGTCCCTTCTCTCTCTCTGGCTCTGGCTTCTCTACCTTCAGTGTATGCCACTCCTACCCTCACCCGCACTCCCTCCCTATCTCTTCTGGCTTGAGCCAGCTGTCTTTGTCTTTGCTACTCGTCTCCACTAGGTACTGCCAGCCCTATCATCTCTTCTGCTCTCTACCATCAGCATTGTGAATCCATGCTATGTCTACTGTCTCTTCCTCTCCTGCCCTCTTCTCAACTTTTTTCCTTTCTTGTCTCTCTAGGCTCCTATGACTGCCCTCCTGTATTAAGCTTTCAAGTTTAAAAAAAAAAAAAGGGGGCTGGTTATAGATATCAATGGCCAGGCAGAATACCCTCTGCACTTCTGTGGCTAACTTACCAGATATAATCCACTGGGTGTAGGCTTTGAGTTTCTAATTCTTATTACCCAAAGACTGGGGTGGCAGGGGTAGGGTGTGGATTTTAATTTTTGAAGCTGATCCGGGGGTCTAGGGACAAATGTTGGATAGCTAAGAATGTCTTGTGTGATTCTGGTAATGGGGGACGAGGAGAAGGTAATGCCCACTTTCCATGTTCTAGGATTTCTCCATTAGAGAGAGGGAGAGAAGATCCTCTATGTTATTATATACATAGGAGACATAATTGATCACATGGCATACTCCATTCTGGGGTAGAATGAGGTAGTCCAGAGTAGGCTTTTAGTACAATCACTATGTGGTACATCTTAAAAAATGATTTTCATTACGAGAACTTCATGACAGATGTAATCTCTCCTTTTGTAATAAATGTGGGAAAGGCTGTCTCCATGTGTTTCGACTTTATGTCGTTCATTAAGTTTGCTGTGTGTGTGTCTAGAGCCATAAGAAGAGTGCTCCCTAACTGCTTGCTCATTACTCTTTGCTGTGCTGATTTGTAGGTGCCAAGGAATCCTGAACTCCCCAATTCAGCCCAGGCTCAGAAAGAGGAGCAGAAGAAGATTGACGAAGCTGAGCCTCACACGGCTGAGGAGACTGAGGAGAAAGAAAAACTTCTCACCCAGGTAAAAATTTCTGTATCTGATAGACTTGTAAACCCTTCCCCCACACAGTCATGAGGCGCACTTAGGAAAGAAAGTATGAATGACAGAGCCCCTTTTCCTGACTGTACTGGTGACAAGAGCTCAGAGGCACCTTGCCAATATTCTTTTCTAGCAGACATCCTTGTGTTTTTGAGCCACCCATCATGTGCTAGTAGTTGTATTCTAGTGAAGGCTCTCCTTAGCCTAGCTTGGCCCTGCATAGCTCTCTGGAGAGCGTGGGCCTAGGCACAAAGCTGGGCCTTAGTTTCCTCATCTGTAAAACAAGAGGGTTGGGCCTCTGAATACATTCAAGATTTTAAAAGACAAATCTTCTCCAACATTCTGATTATAAAGGGATTTCCAGTGGAATCTGAAACATGTTTTACAGCATCTATTTTTAAAAGAATCATCATTTTCTTATCTTATTTTAGGGTCATTTAATTATGCTGATAGAAAATTATTTGATTTTTTTCTTATATTTACATTGCTTATTTTGATTAATAATAATTGGTACCTCAAAACACACCCTATTCATTGATCATTATTTCTAGAATGATCTTGTAATTCTCAGAGAAAAACCCAGAAATCTTTTACCTTTATAGGAAGGCTTTGACTATGACTGTGAGAGAGTTCTAATGTAGTTGTTTATGTCTCATCCTTCTTCAGTTAGAAATAGAATTTTTTCTAAGGTGATCATTGATCATTTAAAGTTCACAGTTATCAAATTGAGAACTTTTCCAATTAAACGAAATAACGATGCTTTCATCTAACTTTTGCTTTATTGTGTGTTCCAAATAGCATAATTGTAAAATAAATGACAGATAATTGGAAGTTGGACTTTATAAAGGGTTTTTGTAAAATAATAAGATGGTATCTCTTTTAAAAAAATTACATTTTATTGATTCCTTTTGTCATACCTATGACACCTTGTGAGAAAACAAAACAATTAAGCAAAAACATATAATATGTGGCATCATGTCTGGTACTGTCTGTATCATTCTGCTCCAGGATCCCCACCCCTTGGCCATAAAGGAGGGAGCCATATGTTTCTTTATTTCTTTTTCAGGATATTGTGATTCTTATGATTATGATTTACTTTCTTTTAGTGATCTTTACATTTACATTACTATAGTCATGTAAATATCATCCTCTTGGTTCAGCTTATATCAATCCGCATCAGTTCATACAAATATTATATTTCTCTGAACTCATTCATCTTTTCTTACTGTACAACAATTTCCCATTATATTCTTACATCATGGGTTATTTGTTTTAATTTTTAATTTTTAACTATTCCCAAATCAATGAATACTCATCTTTCCACTTTACTCTTATAATTTTTTGCTACCACAAATATATGTGCTTTGAATATTTTAGCATATCTTATTGAATCTTTGTTTCTGTCTTTGACTTTCTTTGGATATGCACCCAGCACTGCTGTATCAAAGGGCACGGACAGTTTAATTATTTTTCTTGCATAGTTTCCAACTGGTATGGAAGACATTTGAGCCACTTCATGGCTTTACCAACAATGTGCATCAGTGTGCCCTCATTCTACAGCCCTTCCAGCATTGACTACTTCCATCCATCTTTTGTCTTTCTTCTCACTTCACATAATATGAAGTAAAGCCTCAGAGTTGTTTTAATTCGCATTTCTCTCACTATTAATGATTTGGAATGGTTTCATTTGTTCACTTAGAGATTATAGTTCTTCTTTTGACAACTGTTCATATCCTATGATTACTTAGCTATTGGGGAATGACTCTCATTACTCCAATACTTCAGTCAGCTCTTTATATTTTGGATATCAGACTTTTATGGCCAAAAATTGATGCAGATATTTTTCTACTGTTTCTTTTCTAATTCTATCTTCATTGATTTCATTCATGTGAAAGTGTCTTAATTTTATGTAGTCAAAATAGTCCATTTTATCTTTTATGTTGTACTTTGTCCCTTGTTTAATTAAGAATCCTCCTCTAGTCTTTGGTCTCTTGTCTTCTGATTTTCCTGTGGTGTGGTTCTGAATATTCAGGTAGTACATCAACCTTGAGCTCATTATGATTTAAGATGCCATTTTTCTTATCCTGATTTCTGCCTTCCAGAGTTTTTCCAGCACTTCTTAATGAGAACAGAGTTTCCTCCTATTTATATTCTTAAGATTATCAAATATTGTCCTCCTTTTTGGGCAGCTAGGTGGCACAGTATGTAGAGTGTTGGCCTGGAGTCAGGAAGACTTGAGTTCAAATCTGACTTCAGACGCTTACTAGCTGTGTGACCCTGGGCAAGCCACTTCACCCTGTTTGCCTCAGTTTCTCATCTGTAAAATGAGCTAGAGAAGGAAATAATAAATCCTTCCAGTATCTCTGCCAAGAAAATCCCAAACGGCTCAGTCATCTGAAATGACTGAACAACAACTCCCTTTAGGGGTGTGATTTTTGTTTTGTGTTTATCTAGTCAATGCAACATATCAGCTACTTTTTTTGGCTATTGCTTTTTCATTTATCTCTAGGCCTAGGAATGCTATTTCCCCTTCATTTATACTTTTTCTCATTCCCTTTGAGATTCTAGATTTTTTGTTCTTACAATCAAATTTTGTTAGTTTCTTGGCTAGTTCTTGAAAGTCTCCCCTCAGTAATTTGATTGTCATGGAATTAAATCTGTAAATTAATTTAAGAAGCATTGAGCTTTTTATTGTTTTGACACGGTTGGACAATAAGCTATGAATATCTCCTCTATAAAGAGAGTTTTGTTGTTGGATTTGTATACGTCTTAATGATGTCCTCCTGGTAGGTTATCTCCAAGATAATTTATGCCTTTTGTAGTTATTTTGAATGAAATTTCTCTTGTTATGTTGCTTTCTGGTTTTGGGTTGTACTGTCTAGAAATGGTAATGATTTTTGTGGATTTATTTCATATCTTGCATCTTTGCTGCTGCTCTTAATCATCTTACTTAATTTCTGAGCTGATTCTTGGAGATTTCCTAAGTATGCCAGTCTATCATCTGCAAATAAGGATAGTTTTGTTTCTTCTTTACCTAAGCTTATGTCTTTGGATCTGTATTTTTGCTGCCCGTAGAGTAGGCAGTCCAGCCTAGCTGAAGCAGCTAGGCACCTGGGCATGTGCTGGGTAAGTCAAAACACCACCACCACTGCCACCTTGACGACAGTCTCCACCCTGAGACCCTGATGGACACAGCCCAGGACCTTGAGCTCCCCCAAGCCACCAGACCTGCTTCCAGCCTAGTCCCCATGGCCATGGCTGAAGGGAAAAATCTCGTATAGAACAGGTCCGCCTTCCTCATGAGCACTAGCAACAACTACCAACCAGTTGCCATCCCTAGGAATTCTGGAAGTGGCAGACCAATCGTACTTCTAGCCCAGCCCTCACAGCCAGCATCCAGGGAAGCAACTCCTTTGAAGGAGGGTCCAGCCATCCCTACCTAATGACAACAACCAAGTGCTACTCATAGAGTTGGCAAGCCATCCTAGCTGAAGCAGCAGGGCAGCCTGGGGGAAAGACAGGACATAGCATGTTCTGGGTGAGTCAAACCATTACCACTGCCTTGACCACTATCTTCCTTTAGATATTGATGGGAAAAGCTGAGGTTCCTGAACCAGATAGCCTGGGAGTTCCAATGCCTCTAGCCTCATGCCCTCAGCTGCTATCCTGGGAAGCAACCCCTGTGGAGATGTAGCCTGGCCACTGCTCCCAAATACCCAGGAAAAATCCTTGGGATTGTCAAATGGTTCAGCATTAGAAACTGATAGGTTTTTATCAGTGATAATGACATCAAGAAAGAGGAGTTATCTGCTTTGTGATTGTACTCTAAGGAACATGGAACCTATGTTAGCACTTGATTTATAGCCAAAATCTTTCCTAGGTGGTATCTCTTCCATTAGAGCATGAGCTCTGTGAGGGCAGAAACTGGTTTTTTTTGTTTTTGTTTTTGTTTTTTTTGGCAATTGGGGTTAAGTGCCTTGCCCAGGGTCACACAGCTAGTCAGCCTCAAGTGTTTGGTCTGAGGCCAGATTTGAAGTCAGGTCCTCCTGACTTTGGGGCCAGTGCTCCATCCACTACACCACCTAGCTGACCCTGACTCTTCTTTTTCTATCCCCAGTGCTTAGCACAGTGTTTTGTATATACTAAGCACTTAATAAATACTTCCTTCCTTCATTGCCATAGCTAGTATTTCTAGAACTATGTTAAAAGATAGCAGAGAGAAGACGCATCTTTTCCTTTATTCCTGTTTGTATTGGTGAAAGCTTCTTGAGTTCCTTGATTTTGAAACACGCTACTTCTTGGTTTTAAATAGATGCTTTTGATCACATAAGAGAAAGGCCCTTCCATACCTTTACTTTTTTGAGTTTGTAAAATAAATGAGTGATTTTTTTGTCAAAGATTTTTTCTGTACCTAATGAAATAGTCATGTGGTTTTTGGAATTGTTGTTTGTATGATTAACTACACTAATTGTTTTCCTATTGTTGAACCGGCCTCGGACCTTGGTATGACTCCAGTTTGGTTACAATGAATTATTTTCTGGATATATGGATTGAATTTAAATTTTTTGCATCAATATTCATTACTGAGATTGGCCTATCATTCCCTTTCTTTGCTTTATCCCTTTTTTGGATATTAGAATTGTATCTATCTCATAAAAGGAGTTTGGTTAGAGTGTTTTCTCTTTTAATTATACTTTATGTAGCATAGGTATTAATTGCTCCTTAAATGTTTGATGGAATTTCCTTATAAATCCATTTGGCCTGGGTTTCGCTTCCCAACCTCCCTTTCTTTGGCAGTTAACTTATGGCTTGCTTAACTTATTTTTCTAATATTAGGTTGTTTAAGCTCCCTATTTTTGTTATGTTTGGTTATTTTATATTCTTGTAGATCCTCATCAATTGAATAATCAGTTTTGTTGGAATATAGTTACATGTCATAGTTCTTGATAATTTTTATTTCTTCTCTGGTGTGAATGAATTTACTTATTTTGTTTTTTGAGTAATTTGTTTTCCCTCCCTTTATCAGGTTAGGTTAATGACTTAGTCTCTCCAAAATGTTTTAGTCTCTCTGTATTTCTTTGAGTTTAAAGATTTCTTCTTTTGTATTTGTTTTAGAGTTACCAATTTATTTCCTAGTCTCTTAGATCGCATGCTTTGTTCATTGATTATCTGTCTATTTTGTTAATATATGTTTTGAGAAATAAACAATTTCATCTGAAGACTGCCACACTACCATCCCAAAAGTTTTGATATGCTGTTTCATTGTTATTATCTTTAATATAATTGCTTCTTGTTTCTATGATTTGTTTTTTGATCCAGTTCTTATTTAGTATGTCATTATTTCATCTTCTTTTAGGTCTGTATCTTTTGCTCGCATTTCCTTTATTTTTGCTCATTTTTTTTGCATGAAGTCTGTAAAAGGAGGCATTTGTTATAGCTGCCTTTTTACATTTGTTTATGATTTTTAAAACTTAGATGCTATGCAGCTTGGTACATATACATTTACTATTGCTATTTTCATTGTCCATGGGTGCCCTCAAGCATAATGCAGTTTCCCTATTTGTCTCTTGACTTTTTCAGTTTTTATTGTTGCCTTATCTGAGATCACAATTGCAGCTCTGGCTTTTTATAGTCGCCTGAAGCAGAATAGATTTTCTTTTATCCTGTCATTTTCATCCTTTATGTGTGTATATTTTTAAAATGCATTTTTTTCCTTTTGGGTAGGCAGCAAATTCTTAGGTTTTGTTTTCTTATCAGTACTCTATTTTATCTCTTTTGGGGGAAATTTAATCCATTCACATTTAGGGTTATAGTTGTTAAGTTTATTTTTTTTCCATTAGTTTTGTATATATTTCATATAAATTCACATAGGTATATATGAATTATATGTGTGTATCTGTAAATATATATGTATATGACTATATTTATATGCATTTCTCTTTTTAAAGTCAGCACTTAAGAGTCTCTCCCATCTCTTTTGCTTATGCTAACCTGAACCTGTTCTCTTCTTTCCTTGAGGCTTCCCTCTCTTTCATTATTTTTCCTAACCCTAAAGTCTTTGAGTTTCCTTTTATTTTTTAAGTCTTCCTCTTTTGTTTAACTCTTCTCTTTCCCAGCTCAGATCAGACTTCCCTATAGAATCCTCTTAGCCCTTACTCACCTCATCCACTCTTCTGTTTCAAAGATTTTTAATTTGCAAGGCCCCTTTCTGAGAACTGCTGTTTCACCTCCGCTTTTCTTACTCTTTACCCATTTTAGGCTTCTCTACGATCTATTCCCACTTCAGCAAGATTCATCCATTTGTTGATTCAATATTTAATATAAGACTTTGTGATAGGAAAATTCTCTTGTTGTTAGAAGTGGGGTGTTTTTTGCTTTTTGATGAAGCAATCAGGGTTAAGTGACTTGCCCAGGGTCACACAGCTAGTAAGTGACTAATGTCTAAGGCCACATTTGAACTCAGGTCCTCCTGACTCCAAGGCCAGAGCTCTATCCACTGCTCCACCTAGCTGCCCAAAGGTGTTTTTTTAAAAAAATTTGCTATACATTTCATTGTACCTCATTAATGTACTTTTTTAGTGAATTTTTAAAAATTAGATTTGTTATTCTTCAAATTGAGTACTCACAGGTACTAAAGTCTAGTCTGAAAGTATAGTCAGTTTACAGTACATTAGGAACATTTACAGAAGTGAATCAAAACACTGCCATATTTATATCTTATTTTCATTTTTTCCCCTGAACACAGAAAAATGAAGCTGTGCTGTTATGCTTTTAAAAATTCTACTGGGCTTGCCCAGTTGCTATATTATGAATGAAGATTGCTGAATGCATTTGAACAGAGCAAGCTTAAGTAGTAATATAGAGGCTAAGAGGTCTCCCCACCATTCTCAGTAGTTGAATTTATTACCCTGAAAGGGAACTACATTTTTTTTTTCAAGAAAAATGAGGAATAGGAAGGTGGGCAGGGGGGAAGCACTAGGTTTAAGATCATCTTAAATCTTTTCTAGCTTACCTGAGCTGTTTTGTATTCCAGGGTTTATTTTTAAAAGTTAGATTTTAGGAGGGGGGTACAGGGGAAGGCTGAGTGCAGGGATGTGCTACAGCCAGCTCCTGTTGCTTGGTGAGCTGGTTGTCAGATTTTTCAGTGTGAGCATTCATCTACACCTTGGAAAAAAGTCAGGGCTTGATTCATTGTTCTGTTGATTGTTTAGTCTAGAAAGTGATGGAAAAAATGTTAATATAACACAGATTAAACTTAAAAGTATGTCCTGGGGCATATGTTCTTTTTTTTCAGAGAGCCAGTTGTTAAATGTTTTTTCTGACACTCTTAGATGAGTGAATATGTAAAGTTTCTCCTCTGGTGACTTTTAAGACATGTTCATTATTACCCTGAACAGTTAAAACACTTTGTTATCATGTGATATCTTTTAGTGAAGAAATTATGGAGACATTATGATATTTATACAAATTCAATTTTCGAGTATCCTTTTAAGAACAGTTGATTTAGGTACAGTGGTGTGGAATAATATGTAGAGTGACATAATTTTGGGGGTAAATTCTGCTCCATATTTCTCCTGTGTTTGTTGGATTAATCCATCCAAATCTTTAACATTTGAATGGAAACAAATGTGTGGGTTTTTTTTTTTAATGTATCAGCAAGCTCAGTCAACTGACCACAGTTTAGAAAAACGGCTGACATTCAAGGTTGCTGGATTCCAATGAAAGAAATAGTTATCCAGAAATTCAAACTACAAAAGGAAACAGTGTAGATTTAAAAGATATTTTTGTAAACTTCTTGAGGACAAGGACTGTTTTTTTTTTTGTCGTCTTTGTATATCTAGTGCAATGCCTCGTGCATAGTAGGAGCTTTAATGCTTGTTGTGTATGTGAGCCCTGCTGTATGGAAAGTGTAGGGGCTTTTGGGAAATCCAGACCTGCTGCTTCTTCTGTTAAGCCTTCATGCTTCCAAGTTTTTGTTTACTGCTTCTCTAAGACATCTGGCCATATTCTCCACCTCTTCTGGTACTTAACCATTTCTGCCATAGCTGGAGTAGGGAGAAAAAATATGCTGAGCTTGAAACATCGAGGGAACTAGTTTCATGTTGGTGTCTGTTGCCTGGGTATCAATCCTCTGTCAATATTTCTCCTCTGGGGGAAGTATCTCTTCCCTCACCTTTTCCTGTCATTAAAGGGCAGGGAAAGGGATTATTGCTTTTAGCAGCAGCTGTTGCAGCTGCTGCTGCTGCTGCTGAAGGGAGGGTCTTTCATATCCTCTTTCAGTCTTGCTGTGGTCTTCAGTCTAAGGTGGGAACATTTCTCCAGCATATTAACTGAAGTTAAAAAGTGATTTCCTTAATTGGGCAATTGTTTTTTAAAACAAGAAAATAGAATTCTCTAATGGAAAGTGCATCTATATGAAAACTTAGCACTCCTTATTATTGCTGTGTCTCTCTATAATTTGCTTGAATGTAGTAATAAGAAGATACTATTTTCCTAACAGCCCATATTTCTGTAACTCTGTGAAGAAGATGCTATTATTCTGCCCATTTTACAGATGAGTAAAGAGCCTCAGAGAGGTTAATTGACTTGCCCATACTTGCATATCTAATAAAATGCCTGAGGTCTGATTTAAACCTAGGTCTTCCTGGCCATTTGTCCTGTACTGTATCAACTATGCATAGCTACAATTGATACTTTTATTTTCTTGAAAATTCAAAGAAGTAATGTTGATAATGTTATCATTTCTGTTGTTGTTTCAGTCCTATTCAACTCTTCATGACCACATTTTGGGGTTTTCTAGGCAAAGGTACTGGAGTGGTTTGCCATTTCTTTCTTCAGCTCATTTTACAGATGAGGAAACTGAGGCAAACAGGGTTAAGTGACTTCCCCGGGGTCACACAGCTCATAAGTGTTTGAGGCCAGATTTGAATGCAGGTTTTCCTGATTTCAACCCCAGTGCTCTCCCCACTGTGGCACCTAGCTGGCCATATAGTTGTCATTACCTTGGCTGTTACTGGGCAGCATTTATTAATCAGTAAGGATATTACATCTGTGAAATTTTATTTATAGAAAATTAATAAGCTTTAGAGTTAAAAATTACAAAGTAGCTCCAGATTTAGAACTGTAAATTAACTTTTAGTTGATCTGAAGGATTCCATTCTCTTGATAAAAGAGAATTATTTTTATGATAACTCAAGTATTAATTCTGGAATAAAACATTATCATTTCTTAATATTAAAATTCTATAACAGAAGGTGTTTTCAACAGTCTTCCACGTTATGAACAGTAATGTGCAAAAAGCACCAAGTCTGGTTTCCGTTTACTGTTAATGGTGATGTTTTTCTTTTGGCTTACAGGGATTCACAAACTGGAACAAACGAGATTTTAACCAGTTTATTAAAGCTAATGAGAAGTATGGGCGTGATGATATAGATAATATTGCCCGAGAGGTGGAGGGAAAATCACCTGAGGAGGTCATTGAATATTCAGGTTTGTACATCAGTTCAAACAATGTGTCAGATTAGTTTTATTCATTTCTTTTTATTTTTAATCTCAGGTATGGTTTTGGCTTGTTTAAAGATCATTTTAACTTAAAGCTGTGAAACTTACACAAAAGTAGAATATTAAACTGTTTCCCTCTGGAGCATGTTAATTTCTGTATATGAACCTGATTTAGAATATTTTGGCTGATACTTTTATTCTTAGTGTATCTGTGATCTCCTCAGTGCAGGCTTCCCTCCAACAGTGCAGATTGCATTCCCTTGGCACCCTCTCCTCCAAGTCCTCCCGAAAGCCCTCCAAGTCCACCCAGAGCCCTGAGGGTATTTTCCTGGAGATGGATGGGTGGAGCACTGGTTAGCCTTTGCCACAAGACTGGCCCACCTCCATTTCTGGTGGACAGTTCTTTGTTGCTAATATGCTGCATGCCCACAGAGTCTCTGCATTGTCCTTTGGCTAACCTATAAGGTAATTTCTTCAGAGACAGTGGTTTTCCATAGCTTTCAGCCATGCACTATCACCGCAATAATACTGATGTTAAAAGATGGGCCTTCATTTCGGAGAGAAGCTTGGGGTCATTAAAAGCGCTGAACTAATTAGTTAATATAGCCACCTCAAAGTGTATTACCTGCCAAATATTGAAAGCGAGAAATGCAATCAGTTGTGCCTTGAATGTTTACCCTTGGAGATTAGTTTAGTTTTAGTTAACTCTGAGGGTACAGATCTGGACTAATGGGGGCCCAGGGTCTCATATTTCTGGCTTGTGTCTTAATATTCAATGAGAGAGTCAGTAGTAAAACCTGGGACCTCAGATGTTATGTACAAAGGATGGATAATAAGCAGGATGTTTATAATTCAAGGAAGTAAATCTCACTCAGACTTTGAGGGATGGGACTTACATGTGGAATTTGGCTCCAGAAGAATCTATACCTTATTTAGAAGGAACAGAATAGATGCAAGATATGGTAGAGTAGCATTGTATATTGAGAACTCATATGAGGAAATTTGGGGACTTGAGGGGAGAAACATGATGAGGATCAGTGGGCATCAAATTGAAGTAATGTTGCAGGGGTCTACTACAGACCACCTGGACAGAAGGAAAAATTAGATATGGCTTTGGAAAACAGATCAAGCATGACGCAGAAACATGATACTGGAATAATGGGAAACTCCCGACTGTCTGGGCATCTGATGGCCTTATCTCTCTGCTAAAAACTGATCAGTTTGGAATTTACCCTACTGGTAATTTCATCCTTCAAATGATGGAGGAAATAACAAAGGGAGTTCCTATTTTGGATTGGATTTGGACCAATAAGGAATAATAATAATGATCGCTAGCATTTATGTAGCACTTTAAGGTTTGCAAAGCACTTTACAAATGTTAACTCATTTGCTCCTCACAATAACCCTGGGATGTAGGTACTATTATGATCCCCATTTTTACCGTTGCAGAAACTGAGGCAAATAGAAGTTAAATGACTTTCCCAGGGTCACACAGCTAGTAAGTGTCTGAGGCCAAATTTGAATTCATGTTTTCCTGATTCTAATCTCAGCATTCTGTCCACTGAGCCATCTAGCTGCCTCCAGTGCCTTAATATTGTAAAGGAGTAGTTGGCCCAAGATGGGTGGGAGCTTTTCAGGAACGAATTTCTGAAGGTAGAAGCAGAAATGATTCTGATGAGTTACCTGGATGCCTGGAGAACCCAGTAATTTTAAAATTTTAAAAATACTTAATTTTAAGTCTTTAGATTTTAAAGATTTTAAAAAGACTTAATTTTTTTTTACCCAAAACCAAATACACATTTTATTTTTATTTCATTTTCACATTTCAAAGACTTAAATAGAAGATGGAAGTCAGGAGAAATGACTGAGGATGAATTGAGAAGATCAGTATGACGCTGTAGGAATAGTGTCAGGCATACCCAAATCCAGAATGAGTTGGCGATGAATGATCTTTGGCTTGGGAAGGTGTGGCCACCCAAGATGAGGGAGGAGATGGTCCAAAAGCATCCAGCTGCCTTCAGTGAGCTCCAGGCATACCTGAGCAGAAGGAACTGGCAGATATGATTACTGTGTTGCTATTAATGATCTTTGAAAGTTCTCAGAGAATAGGACTGAAGAAGGAAAAAGATGCCCAATTTTTTTAAAAAAGGAAAAAAGTTGAGTTCAAATCCGGCCTCAGACCAAACACTTGATACTTACTAGCTGTGTGACCCTGGGCAAGTCACTTAACCCCAATTGCCTGGAAAAAAAAAAAGGAAAAAAGATAGTGGTGTCTGCAGAGTGTAAACCAGTGAATTTGACTTCTATTTCTGGCAAAATTCTAGAACACATCATTATGGGGATGGATTGGGAGAAAGATCCAGCATGGATTCATCCCAAATAGGTTATAGTAGACTCCTCTCATTACCTTTTTTGACAGGGTAACTAGGCTGATAGGTTAGGGCCATACTGTGGTCACATTGTGTGCTTAGCTTTCTGCATCTAGATGGTGTGTGGATAGAGTACTGGGACTGGAGAAGGGAAGACGAGTTCACATCTGGCTTCAGACTAGCTATGTGACCCTGGGCAAGTCAATTTACCCCTATCTGCCTTAGTTGCCTCAAGTGTAAATGTGGGTAATAGTAGCATCTACTTCTCAGGATTATTGTGAAGATCAAACGAGATGATATGGTGGGGTCTCTAAGGTGTCTTCCAACTCTGAGATCCTAGGATTCTGAATCACTTGTTATTTGCAATCATGAAAGATTCCGTGGTGTTTTAAGGAAGGGGGAATTTGTGACGAAATTTTGAACTGTAAGTCATTGTCCATTTGTTGCATCCATTGTCTAACTAGAGTATCTCTTGAGGAAGGGAAAAAACACCTGTTGAGGTCCTCTGCAGGTAAGTCTCAGATCCTGGTAGTTCATAACCACTATACCATCCCACTCATGTAAGTAAAATACACATTCTTTTTACTCCATTAAATGCTCTCTTGCTTTCCAGTCTAGTTAATGCCATCAAATCCAGTTTGTCCACTTCTTGTGTGAATTTGGTGTGGGTGACAAGTTGTTATTAAAAAGTAAATACTTCTGTCTTTTCAGCTGTGTTTTGGGAGCGTTGTAATGAGCTACAAGATATTGAAAGAATCATGGCTCAGATTGAACGAGGAGAAGCTAGAATTCAGCGACGGATCAGTATCAAGAAAGCCCTGGATGCCAAAGTAGTATTTTCCCTTAACTTTGGGAATCATTAGGCTGCTCATAATGAGGTAGCGGTTAAATTTCTTGTGCCCTAGCGTACCCAAATAGACATAATTGTTGTTTGTCTTGTTTTCAGATAGCAAGATACAAGGCACCATTTCATCAGCTGCGCATTCAGTATGGAACCAACAAAGGGAAGAACTACACTGAAGAGGAAGATAGATTTTTGATTTGTATGCTCCATAAAATGGGCTTTGACAAGGAAAATGTGTATGAAGAGTTACGGCAGTGTGTGCGCAATGCTCCTCAATTTCGATTTGATTGGTTTATCAAATCAAGAACTGCCATGGTATGTATGCAGAAAAACAAACCTGTTGCATTGACTGAGTTTAGAGTCTCTCTAGACTTCGGAAGGTAGAGCATAATTAGGCAAAAAGTACATTTTTTAAAAAATGCTTTTCCCAATATTGGCAGATGATATAAATGACTATAATTCAACAAACATCTATTAAGTGTGCTAGGCGCTATGCTAAGTTTTGGGATACAAAGACAAAAATGAAACAGGCTTTGCCCTCAAGGAACTTACGTTTTTATTTGGAAGTTGGGGGGGTGGGAAGGGCAGCATATAGCCAGGTAAGAAATACAAAAAGATAAACTAAGTCAGTTCAGGGAGTGGGCACACTACTGTTGTGGTCTGAGAGATGGAGACCCCTCCAAGACCAGAGTACAGGTTGGGTCGTTTGGAATGAATTCACAGACTCAAGCATTCTTCAAGTCAAGGTGGCAAAGATTTATTGTTACGCTTTTCAGCGGGCAAGGATTCTTAAGGAACCTGTAAGAGACTGGGGGTGGAGCTAGGGTTTATATGGAAAAGGGCATGGGAAAAGAATGCCAGGGACACTGATGAGGTAATCTAAAGGTCCAACTGTCTTTGAGAGCTATGGATGGGAAAGTATAGGGAGTATACCGGACAGGGAGGGAGATGACAGAGGTATGGACCTTGGGAGTTTGGCAGGAGGAAGAGTCATTGGGCCAGACAAGGATAAAACTCCTTGGACTGGGCAAGGCACTCCTCTCCCTCTGTCTTGATGAGACAATGCTCTGCAACAAGGGAAAGCTTTCTCACAAGATAGGAGCTTACTGAGGAATTGGGAGGCTTCCAGAGACGTGATCTGAGGGCTGGGGCCTGAGCAGCCCAGCACTCTCTCACCCAGCTTTGTGTAGCTGCACCAGGGAGAGAGATCAGGGTTGTGCTGGGGCCCATGCACGAATAACTGCTAGGCACAGTGTCCTTGGGCTGGGGAGTGGTTGTCAGAGATAGGGTTTCTGAGACTAGGGAGAAATTGGGGTCCAAGCACAAGTACCCAAACAGAAGCACCCAAGCATCCCATCACTACCATTGGGGGGAGTCTGCCTATAAGAGATGACACTTTAGCTGAGTCTTGCAGGGAGTTCGGAATTCTAAGGGGTGGAGGTGTGAGGAAGGCATACATTTTAGACATGGCAGACAGTAGGCAGGAGATGGAGTGCCACCTGAGGGAATGGCAAATAGTCCAGTGTGCAGGAACATAGAGCATGCGTGAGAAGCACATTACTATGCAAAATCAGTGGAGAAAGATAGGTTGGAACTAGATTGTGAAGGCCTTTAAGTGCCAAACAGATAAGTTGTATTTTATCCTAGTGGCAATATGAATGCTTTATGAAGCTTCCAAGGAGGGGAGTGATGTGGTCAAACCAGAGCTTTAGGAAAATCAGTTGGGCAGCTGTGGAGAGAATGGATTCAAGTGGAGAGAGACCCTGGAGGCAGGGAGAGCAATTGGGAAGCTCTTGCAATAATAGTCCAGGCGAGAAGTAAGAAGGGCCTGGACTCGGTTGGTGGTTATGTGAATGTAATGTGAAAGGTGGAAACTACGAATATGAACCTGAATAGACTTCCAGAGATAGTAGATGATAGTTGTGCTATGGCCCATAGGATCACTAAGAGTCAGACGTGACTGGACAACAACAGAATCAACAAGGCTTAGTAACTAATGGGGGTCGACAGGAATGATAGTGGTGCCCTTGACAGAAATGGGGTGGGGAGGGGAGGAAGACACTCGGTTCCATTTTGGACGTGTTGAGTTTGAGATGTCTGTACTGTGTAGAGATAATAAATGGACCCATGGGAACTGAGGATAGTCATAATACCTGGCATTTATGTAGCACCTTAAGGCTTGCAAAGCACTTTGCGTACAGAAGGACAGATATCTAGTAAGTGTGGTTATTCCCATTTTCCCAATGGGAAAACTGGAATTCAGACACGCCCAGTGACATATCCATTGTCTCACAGCCAATAAGTATCATGGTAAGGTGAGATTTGAGCCTGGGTCTTCCTGACTCCCCAGTGCTGTTCCTCTGTAGTCAGCCTGGTGACAAATCTGTCTCTTTTCTGTCAGCCCGTAGCTGGCCCTGGGCTCCATGCTTGGGGCGGGGCAGGCATCTGTCTGAGCTGGCATTCCTCTGGTGTGGTCTCTGAAAGCTTGGGGTCACCTCCACACAGTGAAGCAGGCGTCAGAGGAGGACTTTCATGGAGGTAGTACATGAATAGTGGCCTGAGATTTCTCAGGCAAAAAAAAAACCCAAAAAAGTAGCAGCCAACAGCCCAAACAGTGATTCTATAGCTTCTCCTAAAATGGACCACATTTTGCACAAATGGCTGGCTCTCTGAAGCCCCAGTCTTGGCTCCAGCTTGGTAGGGATAGCAAACATTGCCTGTTTGTTTCCTTTGAGTGAAAGGACAAGGAGCAGAGCTGTTCTGTGGGAAACACTCATTTTTAATAGAAGTTTTAGTGTGTAGGAGATTGGGTCCATTTAAAAATTAAATAACTACTCACATGTGTAGAAACATGTTTGGAGTTTACAAAGTACTTTTTTCATCATGACCCTATAAAACTGATGTAATCGAAGCAGTAGCACTATTGGCAGAGGCACTGGACATGGGACCTGGAAGATCTGGCCTGCAGCTATGCCTGCCTCTCATGCTTGCTGGGTAATCATGAAGAAGGGGAGGGAAGGGGAAAACAACCACCTAATTTCTAGGAGCCCTTTTCTTTATCTATAAAGTAGGAACTTATTTCCCCAGGTGTTTGTGGGCTCCAATGAGAGAAGGTCGGTTTTGGTAAACCTTAAAGCATTATGGGAATGTTACTATTGTCCCTATTTGATAGATGAGGCCACCCTCACTAAAGACATCTTCACCTGCCTCATCAGGATCTAGAAGATGACTTTGAGCTTTTGAAGACTGTGCCAGCTCTGGCATCTAGCACTAGGATGGAAAGGCGTTTGATAATGGGGATAGCAGTGAGATTGAATGTCCATTAACTGAGGTCCAGCCTAGCTCAATTTGGAGAGGGTCACCTCCCTGTTGGCCACATGGTGATGAGATTTATCATTGTTTTTGGCCCCGGTCACTTCTACAGACCATCCACTGAGGCCCCTTCATAGATAAAATCAGGGGTTTGTGAGGTATTACAGATGAGGACACTGAGCCTAGGGAAGTGAAGTCACCATTCTACAGTCTTCCAGTTAACAAGTTTCAGACTCTTACATATGAACCCAGGTCTTCTGACTCTCCCTTCTAGTATCCCTTCCAGAACACTGTGCTGCCCCTCAACACACCACATTCTTTTGTTAATTCAAAGTGTTTTATGAATTCTCTAATTAGAATCTTTATGAGTAATTGACTTATAAAGGCATACATTCTAACTTGGCATCAGATGCCCTATGTTTCAGTTGAGTTAACCTTTGTGATTAGAGAGGCAAGCCTCTTATTGGGTTTATATGTATCTTGCTTGCTTGAGATAATAGCAGGTCAGGGAATGTTTCTGATTGGTTAGACAGTGTGCAGATACACAGAGAAATGTGCCCCCACAGTGCATAGGGCAGCTGGCTACATCTATATCCAGGTATGGCTATAAGGCGTGAACAGAAAGTTGGGCCTCTCATGGCCATTCCGGACTTCTGGAAATCAGCCTCATTACTTTATTGCCACACTGCTTCAAATCATGACAATAGCTCCCATTTCTCTAGTACTGCAGTTTGCAAAGTGCTGTCATGGTACCATAGAACAGGTATGCATTAGCCTTAGGCATGGAGTTAAAAAACAAAAACAAAAACAAAAAACCCTCTAAGAATACATGAATATGAAAAGGAAAAATGTGCAAAAAGCATCTGTCTGTCTGTTTCTCTTTTTATTTATCTACCTACCTATTTCTCTATCTGTCCATCTGTCTGTGTCTTTTTTCTCTGTATCTACCTCTGTGTCTATCTGTCCTTCTGTCTATTTACCTATATCTCTACTTCTCTGTCTCTTTCTACCTCTATCTGTCCATCTGTCTACTTACGTCTATCTCCACCTCTCTGTCTCTTTCTAATTCTATCTGTCCATTTGTCTATCTACCCACCTCTCTGTCTCTCTGTCTGTCTGCCTACCTCTCTGTCTCTCTATCTACCTACCTACTTCTCTGTCTGTCTGTCTACTTACTTACCTCTCTGTCTCTCTATCTACCTACTTACCTCTCTGTCTGTCTACCTACCTCTCTGTCTGTCTACCTACCTCTGTCTCTGTCTACCTACTTACCTCTCTGTCTCTCTATCTACCTACCTACCTCTCTGTCTCTCTCTGTCTACCTACTTACCTCTGTCTCTCTGTCTACCTACCTCTCTGTCTCTCAATCTACCTACCTACCTCTCTGTCTCTCTGTCTACCTACTTACCTCTCTATCTACCTACCTACCTCTCTGTCTCTCTATCTACCTACTTACCTCTGTCTCTTTTTTCTGTCTGTCTACCTACCTCTCTGTCTCTCTATCTACCTACCTCTGTCTCTCTGTTTCTCTGTCTACCTACCTCCCTCTCTGTCTCTCTGTCTACCTACTTACCTCTCTGTCTCTCTATCTACCTACCTACCTCCCTGTCTCTCTGTCTGTCTACCTACTTACCTCTGTCTCTCTGTTTCTCTGTCTACCTACTTACCTCTCTGTCTCTCTGTCTACCTACCTCTCTGTCTCTCTCTCTACCTACCTACCTCTCTGTCTCTCTATCTACCTACCTACCTACCTCTCTGTCTCTCTGTCTGTCTATCTACTTACCTCTGTCTCTCTGTCTGTCTGTCTACCTACCTCTCTGTCTCTCTATCTACCTACCCACCTCTCTGTCTCTCTGTCTACCTACCTACTTCTCTGTCTATCTACCTACTTACCTCTCTGTCTTTCTGTTTGTCTACCTCTCTACATTTCTGTTTGTCTGTCTTGGTGAGAGCCTGTGTCTTTAATAAAGAAAGAAAAAGAATGATTAGTCCAGAGCATTAAG